TCCCCCTGCACACCATTGTAATGCCCCGTGACTTGTCGTCGATTCATTATTCATACTTAGGGCATTATTATTCCATTGTGCGCTGTGCAAAATGGGATCATTAGCACTGAATATGAGAATGTGAAAAATGGATATATTGGGGAAAATTGTGGTGGATATTGTAGGTAGAAAACCCTAAACAATCCTGACTATTAGCAGATAAAGAATAGTAATTTTCCCCAAAGTAATTAGGATTAGCATAATATGACAGTGAATGCATGAATGATGCATACTTGATTGATATGTCGATGCAAGCACTGTAATGAGTCCCTTATCTCCACTCTCCAATGTAGGCTTTTATGCAGAGCGTAGCCCAAGGTGGCATCTACTGTAGTTCTACACCTCCTTAAGGGGACTGTATTAAGGAGCGCCCTGCGTCACACACACATTCATACAAAAGCAGTCACTGAGCAGTGCTAGCGTCTATCATGTAGTAACTGATTGAGGATGGTCCTTTTATCTTGACAGGCTCCCACTTAGAGCCAGACCAGGAAATATGATATGGCAGCTCATGTTCTCAGAGAGACTGTGTGTGTGCGTGTGTGTGTGTGTGTGTGTGTGTGTGTGTGTGTGTGTGCTCGCACGTGTGTAGGTAGGAGGGTGCCATGCTCCGAGTGTGCAAGTGTGGATATATGTGTCCTTCAGCAGCACTTTGCGTCAATCTGCATATTAGCGTGCAGCTGCACAGCATTATCAACAACCTCACATGTCGTCAGTCACTTTGAGCTGCTTTTAAGTGACAGCTATCGATTGGAGGTTTGCGTTTGTGCAGAAGCATCAAAGCAGCACATTGCCCTCTGCATCCCACTTGAGATTGTAACTCTAGAGTACCCGCATCGAATGCAGCACCAGTACAGCATGTACTTGGCTTCGGAAACTCATTCTTCAAGCAACATCTGCGTGCATCTGTGTGTAGGTGGGTGTATGTTTGTGTTCTCTAAGTGTGTGGAATGTGATGTCTTAAATTGAGCGCCACATTGTTTCTTGACCCTGCAACTTTCTCACAACTTAATGGAGTTTTTTCCTGTTCAGTGACTCACCGAGGATCTGTGTATTGAGTAATTGTGTGCATACTTTACAGTGTACAAGTACACTGTATGAGTAAACAAACAAGTACATACAGAGCAAGTCTTTGAGGATCATTTTATTGAAATTACAGGAAGAGAACTGCTTTCATGTCTAATAGTATTAAATAAAGCTGATACTTATATTTAATGTGCATTGTTGTGTTATATTTGTCTATATGATTAGATTTATTTACCTTTTACTCCACTATATTGGAACCAGTATCTTCTTTTTTCACAAATCAAATTGCAGTGTCGGTGTGGCTTTAAGAAAAGCAATAACCTGTTACTGTGCATAATCCACACAGCATAATCATAATTACTTTAAAATAAAATTACACTGTTTTTTGATGAAGTCGTATCACTTGGGGTAATTATGTATGTTACCAAAAGTTGTTGTTTTTTCCTTTTTCCGAGGGATTATTGCAAATCTTAACAAACTAGGTAACGAGTATTCAGCTCTGAGAGGGGAACCAAACATAACAGATGGATTGCTGACGTGTTTTTAATCACCAGTGTTAGCTTAACAAAAAAGTAATCTACATACTACTATTAATTTTCAATGCTACTTCCATTTAGCCTAATAAGGTACAGTATGAGGCACTAAATTATATGTTTATATCCCAAACAATTTTATGTTCTTTTCAGTTCAAAATATATTATATCTAATGAGGAATTCATTGAATATTTCCTTACACAAGTATATAAGAAAGCATATGTAGTAACAGATAAATCATGAATCTAAATTCATAGTAGAAACATAATGTATAAAATGTTTCTTTATGACTTATTGCTTAACTCTAGACTTTTAAAACTCCAACAAAAGAGCTCATATATCTATACAAAAACTGAAAGACTCAGGCTTTCTATAACCTCTATAACCATTCAGCCTGATAAAAGCACAAATAGTCTTAAAATGTCTCTGTATCTCTCAATTATTATTTTCCTTTTCAACAAAACAAGCCTTTAACTCTTTTTACCCTGTGGCTACAGTTCAAACATTCCACATTACAGAATCATTATGCGAATATCAGCTGCAGGAACTTCACATTGGAAGAGCAAACTGGATCTTTTACTGAGTGTCAATTCAGGCTTTTTGAGTGTATTTGACTGACCTGAAATCACCCCCTTCCTCAGTCTGCCTTTCTTCTCTACACACCTTTTCACTTGCCTCCACCTTTCTCCCGCTTCTCTCTCGGTTTAGAGAGATTTGAATGTAGGTCAGCAATCTCTAAAATCCTCATCCAAGTTTGATAAGTGCACTCCAGGTGGTAGTCGGGTAAATATTAAATTTGTAATTGGGGGTTCAAAGTATCCACGATTTAAATATTCTGGTTTCTGATTGTTAAAGAAAATAAGCCATCGCCCTGAGGACCTCGATAACATAATATGTAGTTCTCTAAATGTGCTCGTAATACATTTTTTAAAGTGTTAATTTGTAGAATCTGCAAACATTTAAAGGGTCTGTTTACCCAAATGACCAGAGATGCCAAATGAAATTTTATTTTTTGGCACTCACAGTAATGAAAATAGCATTTAAGCATTTCAAAGGCCTTTTCAGACAGTTACAGAGGAACACGGGTGTGATATGTTCAAGGGAATACTCTTAATAAATAATGAGTTTACTCTCATAACCAGTGTAGGTGCTTCCATGAGAGACACAGATGTCACTCAGCATCAGAAATTCACTTGATGGGAATTCTTTTCAAGTTGTCTCCACGAGGTGCGTGCAATAAGAAGGCTACGCTGTTTGATGTTTGTCAGTATGGAGTGAAAGAGTCTAAAGAAAATCCAGTTTGCCTTTCTGAAATGTAATACATAATAATAAATCCACAAAGCATACACAGCAGTCTGTTTGGATTGTTGTGATTATGGGTCTGCTTTTTGTGCAGCACCCAAGAAGAAGATATTTGGAGAAAATTGTGTTTTTATACCTATATAATATATAGTAAAGGTTTATAGACCTGTGTTGTACACTGTGGAGATATATGAAGGCATACTGATTTTGTATGCTGTGTCTGAAAATACGCATTAATGTCTGTTTCACAACAGCAAATAATCACTGGAATCCAGTGGAACTGGGAGGTCAGATAGTTGTCTCTTAATCAGGTCAATACAAATATCTGCATGGGTAAATATCACTGAAGACAGGAAGGAAAGATTTTTATTTTTTATGTCTTTTTGTAATTGGTTAAGCCAAAACCCTCAATTAAATATATTTTTAAAGCTCAGCCGGGCTCTCTTTAAATACGGATTAAAATTTCAAAATTATACGTTTGCTAATATAACAATGGGTGAGTGCACTGCGGCTACTTGGAAAAATAGTCCTTGATTGCATTTATTTTTAAGAAAATGACTGGTTTCTCTTAATATCGCCTGTGGACTTCTCATTCCGGCTCTTCATATTTCCACAATTAAACGCAGCCTCGCTCTAACAGCTGGCCATTAATCAGTCCTCGCGCTCGATTTCTCTTCCACCTCTAGTTATGATTTCCACATTACTCCACACTCGTTTGCCGCCGCCCGACAGGAAAGTGACCCCAACCCCCTTACCCCCAGTCGTCGCTACCGCCGCAGACGCGCACCTCAAATAATCGGGAAAGTGAGATGCTCGCATAAAGCTGCACACGGGCACACACGGGGCGAGAAAATAAGGCGTTGGAGTAAAGAACATGTATGATTGTATGATTGATGGTAAGTTGATGGGGTAACCGCAATGCCAAGTCCCCACCCCCAAACCCCTCCGCAGCCCCACCATCTCACAGCCATTATCCTTTTCTAATTACACTTTCCTTCTGAAACAGTGGATCAGAGGGCACCATTGACTGCTTTTAATCCGCCACCAAATTTTAATTAACACAGACGTGACCCCCGTCGCCGATACATACCGGAGAACGTCGAGATCACAATAACTCATAAATCACAGCCACAGATTTCATTCCCCCCGCTTTCCGCCGCTGATGAATTTCCAGATGGGGCCTTGTGGCTGTTAATGTCAGAAAAATATGCGAGAAAGAGAGAGAGAAAGCGAGAGACAGAAAGTGTGTTAGGGAAAGAAAAGGACGGAGGAAAAGCGTAAGAAGATGAACAGAAAAGCTAAATTGTAAGAAATAGTGTGTCTTTATGTCTATGTGAGAGAGATGGAGTTGAAGAAAGAGAAATGGCAGCAGCTTTGGTATGCTGTCAACCTTTGAGAGATTTGTTACCGGGGAGAGGATTATGGAGGCTGTGAAATGGGGTTGTGTTAATATGCCGGGTGTTGAGGAACACGATGTGGGCCAGCCAGCTTCACAGCCTCCAGAAATCAAAAGGCTGAACAAGTGAAACGTGACGTTTTGAAGAATTAATTGACACATCTCCGCGCGTATGTGAGTGTATAGTGTGTGTAATATCCTTTAATCATTGATTTTAAATCACAAGCCTTTCATAAATAACCATTACTTTAATTAACCTACTTAATGAACTGAATGCATATGGGTTATCATTAAACAACAAACTGACAAACAGTGATGCTCCCTTATTCTTACGATACCGGTTGTCTTATTCGAGTGTGTATATCTGCGCGTTTGCGCATGCATGCAGTGTATCAGACTACGTATGTGCGGAGGTGGAGGTGGGCAGGGTGCCGGGTTTTGTTATTACTAAATCGCTCATCCATGCTACTAATTAAGATGCATAGCATCCCCCTATGAACGTCAGTGTCGCTAATTATCAAACAATGTAGTGCTCACTAGATATGAGAACTGGCAGCCTCTGTAGTCATGTTACCAACCTATTACTGCTACAATTACCAAGTGCCTGTCATTCTCCTTGTTAGTCATCTGCCTTAATTTTTTCTTAACTAATGTCTTTTTTTTCTTCCTCTCCTTCTCCCCTTCTCCTCCTTTCTGTCTCCAGGATATGGCTTTGTGGACTTCGACAGCCCAGCTGCAGCACAGAAGGCTGTGTCATCTCTCAAAGCCACTGGGGTGCAGGCCCAAATGGCCAAGGTAAGGAGTGTCTAAAAACAAGTTGGCGTCCTCACTTCCTCGTGCATTATCTTTAGCAATTTTTAGTTTTTGCTCATTCAGCTCCTGCCAGGTGTTTAGTATTGCACATTTAACAAACTTAACAAGTTTGCCATGAAGGACTTTTTATCTTGAAGAGAGACTCCTAAATGTGGGCCTCAAACTGCATTTGAGTGCCATTAGACAACAACTTGGGAAGTGACACTGGTGCATGTATGTCTCTGTTATCTTACTGATGCTGAAACTGGAGTCTAGCACAAGATACGTGAAATTGTGGATCACTTCTTTCCTGTGGTTATGTGGGCTTTTTGTGTTGTGTTTGACAGTATGCATACAGTATGTGCTGGATTACAGTGCTCCATGGCACTTGTGGTTTCCAGTTAGTGAGCTGGCCCCTCTCTAACTGAGGTTTGACTAGTCGCTTGTGCTACGTTGTCGAGTGTTATTAGCCTGCTAAAGTGGAAGCAGATGAGACAAGCTGTTTGAGTAGTACAAAAAGGGCCCTAGTGAGTTGTACAATGGAGACAGGTTGATAGGCATATGTGGAGAGGTGTAGCTTAGAGGAAACTGCACACTGCCAGGGTATGATCTTATTCACCAATTTCCTATACAATCTTGTATTTTATGTCAACACTGTGGTTGCATATTTATTGTTGGGCATTTGGCTGTCTGACAGAAGAGCCGTTTTACCGGGAAAAGCATTTCAGAGATATTGTTTGGTGTTTGGCAACCCTCAGGCAGTGATCATACTGTTCTTTTCCCATTTTTGTTCTCTAATTTTCTTCATTTCCCTGTTGACTGCTCTGAGAGTCACCATATTAGAAGGCACAGCAGGGCCCTCTCTCCGGACATCTATGACAGACAAGCCTGCCTGACTTAACCAGGCTATTCTTGTACCCGTCAAACATTTGTTAATGTCAGAATACCTTAATAGGTGAAGAAAATGTCAGTAGCACTGAAACAATAAATATGCTGATGACTATTTGAGGGTGCACCTTGAGTGATTTTTCTTGAGACGAGATGGCGTGCATTTGATCCAATCCAAAAATCCCCCCCTCCCACCCTCGAAACCGAAGAAGACCTGATGAGATGGGGAGCGGCAATGGCTCCGGTGAAGATGACAGAATTGATGGTAACGATGAAGGTGGCAATTATTTTGATCAAATGGGATGAGATCTGACAGGAGGAGATGATATTCCGTGTGGTGCTCAGGTGTGCCATTTCTCAAATGCGCCATTTGCCCGTTTCCTTTCCCCACCAGTGTCCTTCTTCCAATATTTATAAGAGGGCAAGCTCTCTGAATACTGATAAGAAACCATGCTCTTTGTCCATCACATTTTAAGACCACTCTTTGCATTGCTCCCCTTCTCTCAGTCAATATTTTCATGAGAGGGGGCTCGTGTCCCAAAACAAAAGAGCTGACCTTTATAGAAATCTTGCCGCAAACACATTCTCAAAATCATTTTCTATTAGCATTTGTGTATAATAGCTGATTTTTTTGAGTGCTCCCTTGTTCTATTCGCACAAATGGTAAGACCAGCGTTCTCTGCTGCAGCTCTATGCTTTTATCACACTTGTGAGGGACATTAAGTAGTAGTTTGCTTTTATAGACTCCCTCTGTATCTCGCTAATGTGTCTTTACCAGGTATCACTGCCATCACTCTATCGACTCCTCACCCAACACTTCCAGCCTAGCCCCTCACCATTTCTTTTGCTTAGTGCCGTTTTCTCTCAGCATTGTTTTGGGTTTTGTTTTGTTTTTTTGGTTCTCCTGCACACACAAATATACAGACACACACACACACATTTGTATTCACATCCACCAAGTGTTGCCCTGCGAGACATCCAATGAGCAGTTTTTCCTCCATCAATAATTAACAGCGTGTTATCTTTGTGTCTGCCTACCTGTCAAGGTGTCTCTCACACCCCACCCTCCTCCCGCTCGTTCTGTCATGCCGAGTAGCATTCCCGCAGCGGGAACGGATGAAAATACAGGTGAGCACCGAGGAGGGTGCAAATCAGAAAGACTACTGCTAACGCCGTGGACGGCTTCCACAATAAGAACATCCAGCCTCGTTCTCTCGCTCCCTCTGCTCCATTTTGTCACTCCACAACAAAGTAATAAACGAATCGCAAGTCGGAGCCAGAGGCTTTGAGCTCATTAAATAAAACTGTCACAGTAATCAAGTTGCACCTTTTTTCCTGCCTTGATGCCATTAAAACACTTTTATTAAGGTGCCTTATTTTAAACACAGCTGCAAACCAGGCAAGAAATGGAGAGAAAGGCAAAGGATCACTTGATTTCCTCTTCTTCCGCCAGTGAAGCAGCCCGCTGTCTCTCTCCTCTTACTCCCCTTGGAATTTGAAATACCAAGGCAGTAGAGATGAAACGTTACCTTCCTTTTGTTTTGCCCTCCCCTGGGGATGGTGACAGCGAGAGAGAGGAGAGGAGCCATAATTAAGACACCTAAAGGACACTTCCCCCCCGTGCATCCCTTCCTGTCACTCACCTCTACACAAGTCACAGATAAGAGCACTTAACATAGGTGTGGAGTGCGTGTGTGTGTGTATTTGAATGTGGCAGTGTATTATTATGTGCATGTTTGTCTGCACTACATTCCCTGAATTACACATTTTTTGCATCATTTTGTAACATTTTTTATATAATTGTAACTAATTTTTAATTTAAACTAGGATGCCTGTCCTTTCATCTAAAATGGAAAATTACATTTTGTAAAACACACGTTATACCTTATTAACCTTATCACCTTGTCTTTGCGTACAAAGAGTTGAATGACGGGGGATAAGCTCACTTTAGTATAAAGAGTTGTGAAAACGACCGACTGGCTTCATCTAAGACTGAGAAATGAAAAAAACGTGGGGTGTATTTCTAAATCTGGAACAGGCACTTTAGCATTTTGCTTTCTAACTAGTCAAGCGTCTCTGTTCTAGCTATGCTCTTTGAATAAAGATCTTCACATCCATAAGTAAAGCAGGTGTGTCGTGGGTTTGTTGAATTTTATCCCATTTCTTAAGAACATGACTGTCAGATCCTTTTCATCTGCACCTACCTCCTGGCACAATAGACTCTTCTTTTGTTCTTCATTTGTCCGATTTCTCAAATTTCTTAAGGACACACTGCACACAATGCCACAAAACACCAAATTTTCAGCTTAGATATCTTTGTAAATCTTGTTTCAAAAATACTATTTTATGTCTGTCAGTTTGTGTTATCATTGGCATTTCTGGCATAATTGAGAGGAAATTGGGTTTTTTGTGTGACAGACTACTAGCAACAAAGTTCCTACATATACAATTTTTAAATTGGTTCTTTGCTAAATTTTCTGTTATAAAACTGTCTCATCCTTTGATTTAAGTGCCTTTTGTAATCTCGAATGAGTTGGGTTTAAGTGGCTTAACGAACATATATATATACATATATGTATATGAGTAAAAAACCTGCTAATGTTCAAAGAAAAGCTTTAAAAGAACTTCAGAAAGGCTGGAGAAATACTGAGCAAAATCTAAAACAATGTAGCTTGGCTCAAGTCTTTTTCATGGTACTAGAACTCTTAGCAAAAAGGTGAAAGGGATGAATAAGTATTAACCAAAATGTATTAGTTTTCTTATTTATCGGTAGAGGTAGGCACAGATGACTGCTTATATAAATAACATGTTTTTAAATAAGAGGCGCTTTTATGCTGCTTTAAAAAAATTGTATAGATTAGTGTGATGTGTACATAAAATGTACTTTTTACATTGTCATTAACAGGCGCGTGTATGACATCACTAAAGAAGTATTAAAACATTCATATAGGCAGTATGACTTTATATAAATTAAGGTGGGAAAATCTGGTAAATCTTAACATAGTGTTCTAACAGGAGACCTTAATAGGATTCACTAGGGTAAGTGTGTTCGTGTTTTGTGCATGTGTGTAATACGGTTTGTAGGCACGCACTTGCCTCCTGGCACCATAGACTCTATTCTCCGTGCCACTTTGTTCAGGTAGCTTTCCAAACTGAGAAAACCGACACATCGAGCAGACAGAATGATAACAGGTAAACGCCGCGTCTAGCTTCGCAGATGCAAACCTGTCAACCAGCCGCTCGCCTCACTCTCCACAGGCTGCCATTTTCCCCTTGAGCCAATCAGACTGAATTATGGGAAGGGCACCCTCGATTGTGGTGTCTGTGTCGGAGAGGTAATTCCGCCTGACAGCTGCTTGCTTTCAGACAACAGCCAGTCTTTATGGAAATCATCCCTCCCTATTCTCGCTCCAGTCGGCTTCTGCTGATAACAGCCCGGATGAAAACAAAGCTGTCCTTTTTGTATTTTCTTCTTTTTTCTTTTTTTTTTTTTGACTCGTTCCTCTCGGCGTGGACAACCTAGAATTAGAAAAAAACAACTCTGACACCCTATGGAGGCTAACCAGGTTCACCCAGCTTTCTATAGCTAATTGTTATATGAACTTTGGATCTTGCTAGACATTGTCTGATACAAATAAATATACATGCATTATGTGAGAATAGTATACATAGTGTCAAAAGTGTCAAAACTAAACAATGGTGTTCATATTAGAGAATTTAAATAGTGGGGATGAAGACTTTGTGAATAGCATCTCCATCCTTACCCTTGTTTAAATAGCCGATATTTATAAGGTTCGCAGAAGCTGCAGGCAGACAGAAAGGCGCTACTTGCCCTTCACATTACAGAGGGGAAATTATGCTAAAAGCATCATTAAAGTGCCTCCATGAAGTGAATCCCAAATGTTTATGATAACGCAGTGCACACACCGGCCCTTCAACCAGTAGTCACTGGCGAATGCTTCAGATGGTTTAACGGTGTGAAACGAACCGGAGTGTTCAGTCCTCCTGCTCGTTCCCTCTCTCCCTCTCATGCATTCTCGCTTTCACTGCCTTTCGCTTGCTCTGTCTCCTCCACTGTCTTTTTCTTTCTCTCTCCCGGGGAAGGTTTTCTGTCA